CACCAAGGAGGCACTGGAGGCCTTCGCAGACTCCCTCGTGCCCTCGGCAGGCATGCCGCACGCGCACCACGGACAGCTCGTGGTGAGCCCCGCCGCGGCGCCCCTCCAGCTGCCGCCGCTCGGGACCGCCGCGCTCCTGCGGCGGACGCCGCTCGGCGCCGCCGCGCCCCTCCAGATGCACTCGCGTTTGGGGTTGCCGCCCTCACATAGGATGCGATGCTTTGTTTTACACACGCTCGGTCGCTCGCTCTCTTTTGCCTCGAAGCGGCTGACTCCAGCCGCTGCCGCCCCGGTTGCCCGCAAGTCGCGCGGCCCGTCGGCCGGCCTCACCCCGCCCCCGACCTTGCCCCCGGCCCTGGCCACAACCCCCGCAGGCCGCCCCCACCGTCCACGGCTGCAACATGGCGGGGTTTGCCCTGGTGAAGAAGGTGCCGGGGACGCTGCACTTCACAGCGCGCGCCGAGGGCCACAGCTTTGACCACGCCTGGATGAACATGACCCACCTCGTCCACCAGTTCTACTTTGGCAGCAAGCCCAGCCCCCGCAAGCTGTGAGCGGGTGCTCCCTGAACCCCCCCACCACCCCTGTCGCTGATGCTGAGGGTTTAAATTCCCTCAGGCCGACCTGTATTGACCCGTGACTGACCCCGGCAACCCGGCGTCGCAACTTGTGCCGTGCTGCGCTCGCCGCGTGGATGATCCTGTGCGCACGATGTCTCCACAACGCGCCCCAGGGGGAGCTCCCGATTCCCCCCTCATGCCTCCATGGCCCACCTTGCTTTCCAGGCCTCTCCTCAGCCCCTACCCCCCCCCCCTGCACGCGTACACGCAAAACCCACGCCCCTCTGCTTGCCCCTCGCCCCCTCAAAAAAATCAACACGACCCCCCAAAATCACCCTTCCTCCCGCCCCCACCCTCTACATAAACCTGATGATCGCGTGCAGGTGGGAGCTGAAGAAGCTGCACCCCGGGGGCCTCACCACGGACTGGCTGGACAAGATGCACGACCAGCTCTTCTTCAGCGACAGCGCGCAGCACACGCACGAGCACTACATCCAGGTCGGCCGCACTTCCGCGCCCACAGAGCCACGGGCAGGCGGGCGGGCGGGCAAGCGGGCAAGCGGGCACCCGGCCGGTTGTGATCCCCCGCACGAGAGCGTTTGCAGGTCGGTAATGGGGTGTGGCTAGCGGCGCCACTCTCACACCGTCGCCCCCACATACACATGCACATATTTGACTTATCCTGCTGCCTCCGCGCACCCTCTCATACTCACCCCCTCACCCTGCCGGTTCCACTCGCTGACTCACCCGCCGTGTCACCCGCCAGGTTGTCACGACCACCATCGAGCCCAACCACCGCGTCAAGGGCACCTGGTATGACAGCTACGAGTACACCGTCCACTCCCACACCTACATCAGCGACAACACCCCCTCGGCCAAGTTCACCTACGACATGAGCCCCATACAGGTGCAGTGGCGCCACCGCCTGCAGCGCGCCAAGAGATGTGGGGTGGCCGGCTGCCTGCCGAGTGGATCAGCAGGGGGTGGGGGTGTTTGGCAGCCCAGCGGTGTGCCCAGGGGCGGAGAGGGCGCGGGGTGGAGCTCATCACAGAGCTGCACAAAGCTGAGCGGACAGCTGCACCTGACGCCGCGGCGTTTGTGTTTTCCACACATCACAAACCGCCCTGGCTTGCTGCATGTGCACCCTCTCACCCCTCTCACCCCTCTCATCCCTCGCATCCTCGCATCTTCGCCCTCGACACCTGCAGGTGGTGGTCAAGGTCAAGCCGCGGCAGTGGTACCACTTCCTGACCACCACCTGCGCCATCATTGGCGGCGTGTTCACAGTGGCTGGCATCATCGACTCCCTCCTCTACAACACCCTCAAGTTCACGAGGAAAATTGACCTCGGGAAGCAGGGGTGACGTGGCTGGGTGGTGTCACTGGTGATGTCACAATTGATTCAGTGCGGCGCAGGGGTCGGCGGCTTTCAAGGCTGCAGGACTCCCGTGCATGCGGGGCGCGCTCTAGAATGCAGCGTCGCGTGCACAGCTGCGTAGGTGGCTCGTGCGCGCTTGCATGCCTGTACTGCGGCCGCATATGATGTTGCACTGCAATTCATGGATGGAACTAGTTTGTAAGACCTGCCTTAATCCTTTTTGGGCGGCGCAGCGCGTTCTGATCGGTGGGCCACCCGAGAGTGTCCGCAATGCCCTGCAGATCTAAGATGTCCCGCTACAGCAGAAGTGCAATGTGATTGCACGACAGGTATAACAAAGTGACGAGCGTCAAACGCAAGGCGCGCACTCCCGTTGACCTCCTGGAGACCGGTGGTGCGACATGTTTCATGGCGTCGTCATGCCCACTTATCAAGCTCAAACCAAAAATACGTATATATATCATATTACGAAATGATTGAAACGTGCCTCGGCGCTCCAGAACTCTAGATTCGTGAGCGAGGCTGCCGCAAGACCTTGCACTGCGCGCGTGCTCGCACGCCGGAAGCCCAAACAACAGTAAACATATAACGTTTCACATCAGAAGTGGTGACAGCTCTTTTGTGCCTGGTATCGCACCTGGTTACGTCAATGGAGGCCTCGGACGACGAAGAACAGAGACGCCTGAGCAGCAGGTGCGAGCTATACATGCGTTTTAGGTCCAACGGGAACACGTCTGATATGTCAGTATGGCCACGGCCACGATAAGCGCATGCGTGCCAGCACATTCGCCGACGCACGCACCGCGCACATCTTCATCGGTTTCGCAGCGGCGGCATGTGGCTGGTGCCACCACAACAGCAACACCTGGAAGGCGTTGAAGAGGAACACCGCAACTTATGCACGCGTTCATCTGCCACCACATGGGCCAGCTTCAGCGCGGCAGCAGCCATGGCCGCTGCGAACCGGGGCCCAGCGGAGGCGGCCCCCGTCGCTGCGGGCGCACCTGGCGCGCTCCTCACATCAAACACGCCACCCGCTGCTGCGGCGCATGGCGGCTTGTCACAAGTCATTGTACGGATGGCGCAGGTCAGAGACGCAGTACTTGCTCAGCAGGCAAAAAACATGGCGCACATAGACCAGGTGCTGCGGGAGGCACGCGAGGACGTACAGCGTCGAAAAGCGGCCGCAGGAAGGAGGGCAGAGCGCTGGCGCAGCACGAGACTGGGCGCCGCTCTGTCACCGCAGCAGGGCGGCCAGTGAGAGCAGTCTGCCTGGCTTGCCAATGACCATCACCTACCGCCGGACGTTTGCCAGCGAGCATCATTTGCCATGTGCTGGCACCTGCGTTTGCTCGCCATTGCCACTGCAAGAACCACGCACCCCACCCCGTGCCGCGGCTGCAACGTGTCTTGGACCCCGCCAGCTGTGCGCGCAGGCAGCGTGCTCGCTGCTTTGTGAATGCACAGATCTTGACTGATTGCCGCAGCCAAGCGTGAGGGCGACACGAAACACTGAGTGCACTGCAATCTGCGCAACGCCCATGCCATCAGGCCCGTTGCTTGTAACAAAAGCTTAACCCCAGTCAAACAAAAGCATCCAAGATAAAAGACCCCTGCCAGCCCCTTCAACCGCCTCCAACCCCCCATAACAAACATACTCATCTACCGACCGGAAAATGCACAGGCGCCTGGAAGTAGTGCTCCTCGCCTCCCCGTGTCTCTATGGGCTTGAATCATGGCCCTGCCTGCCCGAATTCTGGGCGTTTGACTTTATCATGAGTTCAGTGTCTACGCTAAGTATGAAGTCCTCAGCAAACCTTCTTGCCTTGGAGCTGCTGCTTGTCAGGAAACCGCTTCCTCTCTGTGACAGACACCAGTGAGCAGACCAATATGTGAGCGGGCGGGTATAAATCACAAACAAGCTGGGGAGAGATGTATGAAAACCTGCGGTGGGAGCGTTTATTGATCAACAGCCAGAGAAGCCGAGAGCAAGACACTGGAGTTGAACGGCATGAAGCATATCCTTCATGCGGTATCGGTCACTTCTCAGGATGAGTCCCTCTGTCTGCCCTGAAAGGTTGTGCACATGTCCTGCTGGCAGCTGCTGATATACATATTTTTGCAAATTACATGGGCTGGAAACTCCTAGTTGTAACGAACTCCTGAGAAAAGCAAAGGAAGCAGTCCAGGCGGTGAAGCTGACTGCATGAAATCCTGAAACAAAATGTGCCGCGAGTGACTCCTTCATGCAATGTCATGCTCAAGACTGCTGTGGGAGCAGCCTTGGCGCCTGCCCAGTGCCGCAGGTTTGTGACACTGCCGACGTGTGAGCAAATGCCGCACACCCCCATAGAAAGAGGATGGCGCCGTGTTGGCGCCCAGGGCGCAACCATTCGCACTTTGAGCCGTACGCTTAGCTGAACAGGCCCAATGGCAGGAGAACAGCTCAATCATGATAGCAGAGGCAGCTTTTAGCTCGCTGCAAGGTCTGGCACGGAGCGCTTTAGGAGTTGGGTGGCAATGCATGCATTTGCCATGCGGGCATTTGCCGCCGCACAATTCAGGTGTGCGCAAGTGTTGCTTTATTGGGTGTCCGAGGTCGGCAGGAAAGGCGTGCTTCCTTGCACGCTCCTCAGACGAGTGCGCCACGCGCGGCAGCCTCACGCCTGCCTGCGCTCTCGTTCGCGCTCATGCCAGCCGGCGGCGGCGCTGTAGCCGTCCGCCTGTGGCTGAAACACAATGGGCACAGGCAGCGTTTGGGCTGCCAGTTGCGCGCACGGCATGCGAGCTGGCCGCATGCTGTTCAGAGGCGACTTGGGACAGAGATGCAATGATGAAGAAACAGAGACTAAAGGACTAGGATGTGCCAGTGACGCCTGCAGAGATCATGTCTAAGCAAATAGGGGGATCAAACGAGGCAACCGAGCCGCTTTTGACCAATGTGTGGGACACGCACGTGTTGGAGGAATCAAAAACGTGGGATCGTTTGGCGGCGCTGTACAGAATCGGATTGTGATGATGCTGAACCAACTGCTCTGATTTGACGCTCTTGAATGCGCCGCTCCTCGCGGCGTCCGTCTGCTGCATCACGCGCCAGGAAGCTGCCGTCCTAGGCCCGCGTCACCGCGTGCAAAACATGCGCGCGTGGGCGCTACGGCGTTGAAACCATACAAGAGTGGCGCCCGGCTGACATCGTCGTGCGCAATTCCGGGGCGCCGCGGCAGCCAGGGCCTCTCGCTATCCCCCACGCGCCCCGCCGGGCATGAGCTGCGGGTGCCCGCGCGGCTCGGCGCGTGCACGCCGCCTCCGATGCCATCAGCCGCATGCAATGCAGACCCGAGAGATCATCCGCTCCCTGGAGAGCTGCTCGCGGGCCGCCAGCCCGCGTGGACCAGTGCTCCATAGTATCTCTCGGCGCCAACCTTGGACCGCCCAAAAAAGGGGTCTGTCTTATAACCGTAGTTCGCGTCCCCGATGTTGCGCGCCCTCGCCGCCGCGGCCAGCGGCTCGGCGGCGCCCGCGCCCGCGTCGGTGCACACACCGGCGGAGAAGCACTTGGCCACAACTGCGGATATGTGGGGGGCGGCCATCGAGGTTCCGCTGAGGGTCCTGTAGGCGCCATTGGCCCCCGCAAGCTTGACCGGCCAGGAAGATCGGATGTCCACGCCGGGGCCCGCAAAAGTGCGCGTCCGCGAGCGCTCGTCGGCCGAGTCGGCGGCGGACAGGAAGTAGGAAAAGGTCGCGGGGGCGTTGCCGCTGGTCGCGCTGGTTATGGCGGTGGCGACGATGACATCTGGGCAGGCCGCGGGGAGCTGGGTGGTCCATGACCTGTTCGATAGGGTTTGAGGTTGACGGGTCTCTGACTTTAGGGTGATGTGGTGGGCGTGTAACAATGTGTGTGTGTGTTTGCGCGTGGGCGCGCGTGTGTGTGTGTATATGTGTGTGTGTATGTTTGTGTGTGTGTGCGCGCGTGCGTGCGTGCGTGTGTGTGTGCGTGCACGTGTGTACACGTGGAAGGTGAGGTTTTGCCACTCCGCTCCGCCTGCCCTGGCCGTCCACAGATTGACCCCCAACCCGTCGGCGCGATTCGCGCGGCCGCAGGCGCACGCGGACGTGGCCGTAGGTGCGTGCGCACCTGGGGCTGGTGCCGATCGCGTTGCCCGCCGCCGCGACGACGACAATGCCGGCGTCCACCACCTGCTTCACCGCCGCGCACGTCGCGCTGCCCGCCGCGTTGGCAGGCGCCTCGCCGCCCAGGCTGAGGTTGACCACGCGGATGCCCTTTGACCGGCCGTTCTTGGCCAGCCACAGCAGCGCCTGGATGACGCTGGCAAAGGTGCCGCTGCCGTTCTCGTCCAGGACGCGCAGCGCGAACAGCGGCGTGCCGGGGGCGACGCCGACGACGCCGGCGCCCGTGTTCTTGGCTCCGATGGTGCCGGAGACGTGGGTGCCTGTGTGGGAGGGGCAAGGGGGGCGAGGTCGAGCCGCGTTGTGGGCGGAGGTCGGGGTGTGGACTGTGGAGGCAGTTGCCGCAGAGCAGCGCGCTCGGGGTGCTTGCAAGCTCTGGCTGGCACAAGGTTCTCTCAAGTGCTGCAGACTTGCTGAACGCGACACAGGTTGGAGCGCCGAAGCACATACGGCTTGGTAGCAATTGCATATCGTTGAGATTGTCCTTGGGGACCGCTTGACGGGCTGACAGCGGCCGCCGTCAACTGCCGCGTCCTTGCCGCACAACACTCACACCATGCCGCGCCCGCACGCACAACCATAAGACGCGCGCCCCCGTGGCCTCCGGCCAAAGCCACCCACCGTGCCCGTTGCGGTCCCGCCAGTCGGTGCCGACCCAAGACACGCCGCCAGCCACCACCAGGTCGGGGTGGCTGTCATCAATGCCGGTGTCCAGCACGGCGACGACGCTGTCCAGGGGCTTAGTAACCTGTTTGCCCAGGTTGGACTCGATGCGGGCGACGCCCCAGGGCACCGTCTCGCCAGCCTTTTGGGCTTCTGGGGATGTGTGGGGCGTGGGTCGAGAAGCGGGGCGAGGGAGCGGGTGGTGAGCTGCGCGTGGCGGGACAGGGAGTGGAAGGGCGTGCGCGTTGCGCTTGGCACGGACAGGGATGCAGGAGAGCGGCCGCAAAGGAAGGGGCCCGCGGCAGGGCTGCGGGCGGAGCTGCGGGGCTGCGTGGGCGAGTGCGCTCACCGGTTGGGAGGACGCTGACAGGCAGCGGCAGCTTCAGCCCGGCGGGCGCCGCGCTGCCGTCGCCGCTCGCGCCGCCGTCGCCGCCGCCGGTGCTGCCGGGGGGCGAGGTGCCCGCGGGGCACACCTCGACGGGCAACGCCTTGTTGGCCATGGGCGGCACGCCACAGGATCCTATCATGTCCGCGCTCGCCGCGAGCAGCGGCGCCACCCCCGGGAACGACGCCGACTGCACCTTGTTGCGAGCGCACGTCGTGCCGCTCGGGCCCACGGCGCCGTCTGCTGCGACGGCATAGCGGGTCCACTTGATGAACGCCTGCCTCGGGCCGCACCTGACCCCCTTGTACACGACGCTCTGCCCGCTCGCTGCGCCGCATGACGCGGGGGCCGGCAGCGTTGCCGCGAGGCCGCCGGCGACGTCCTTCGCTCCCGCGCAGGCCGTGCCGGGCTGGGCGGCGGGGGCGCAGATGTTGGTGACGGGCAGGGCCGGGGCGATCGTGGGGGGCGTGCCGCAGTCGCCCAAGAACAGCTGGTTGAAGGCGGCGGTGCGGTTGCGCGTCATGAGGCAGCCGGGGATTGGCGCGCCGGTGCCTGAGAAGGTATGAGGGAGTTGTTGGCGGGAAGGGGTGTTGATGCAATCAGGATGAGGCAGTTGATGCTGTTTGATTAGGTCAAGGCGGCATGCTGCGAGTGCCTCAAGTGCGTTGTGGCGGGTGGTGTGACCGCGATCACCCGCCCCCTCCGATGTCAGCCGCTGCTGCGGCCCCAACTCGCACATCGTGGCCTCCGCACCCCCGCAGTGACGCCCGTCCATTCAAAGTGTCTGTAGCAGTCAAAGCGCGCAGCCCATGCGGTCAAACGAGGGCGGCGCCCGGCGCCACCCACCCTTGTCCACTGCGTACACGCCGGCATAGCGCGCCCTGTCAAATCGTATGCTGCAGCGGTCGCCAAACCACACCAGCGTCGCGCTCGGCCCCGCACAGCCTGGCCACGCGGCCGCGGGGACCTCGTCGGGGGACTGCGCGCCGGCGAGCGCGCTGCCGGGGACGCAGGTCGCCTGCTGGGTCGAGACGTAGCGGTCTTGCTCCAATATTGAGACGAGGCCGCTTGCGCGCATGGCCGCAATTATTGGGGGCTCTGCGCCGGCGGCCTGGGCGCCGTCAGCCAGGACAGCAGCACGGACGGCCGCCGCGGGCGCCAGCTTCACGACGGCGCCGACGAGGCCGCCGCTGGGCGTGGCAGCGGGTGGAGGCGCAGCCGCGGCGGCGGCAGCGGCGGCGACAGGCGCGGCGTTGGCGGCATCGGTGGCGACGCCGCTGTTGAAGGGGGTGGCGGACAGGAAGGGGTCCGACAGAGGTACTGCGGCAGCAGGGGTTAATGGCTCGGCGGCAGCGGCGGCGACGACAGCGGCGGCGTCACCGGCAGTTGCGGCCGCGGTGGCGGTGGCACCAGCGTTGCGGCCCGCGGGATCGCCCGCAGCTGTGGCCACGTGCTGCTTGAGCCTGCAGGTTATGCACAGGAAGTCATGTAACCTTGTTTTGGTGTGGTGCGCAATAGATTCGCACGCAGATGTTGCCTTGGGCCGCTGCGGGTACCACACCGCTGCAGTGCAGACACTGCAACGGAACGCCCAAACGTGCACCGTCACCAGCGCCGCCCCTCGCACCGCGCCAGGCCCTCCTCCGCGCTTGATATCTTGTCGTTAAATACTACTATCCATTGCCCGTCCACTGGCCGGCCCGCCTTGCTCTGCCAAAAGTACTGGGCGACGCCAGGGCCTTCATCGACGACGGAAGCGCCAGCGGGCCCCACCACACCCGCTACGCCGGCTATCACAGCTAATAAGCAACTTTTAATGCAGAAGTGCGCGCTGAGACGGCCCGACTTCATGACTTGCTCCCGCCTGGACTGGTGAACGCACTTGCGCCGGCAACGTGTGGGTTACTAGGGCCAGAGCTTATACTAGAGGCTCCGTAACCCAGTAACAAACGCCCATCGAAAAACACCCGCTGAAAAGCTCCTTCTGATAAACAACTCTGATTTCACACCCTGACTCCAATCCCTTGAGACGGCTTATGAGATAGCCAGGACCGTTTGAAATTCGTGGTTACGTTTGAGCAATCGGAGTAAAGTATATTAAGCTGCTGGACGCCCCACGCGAGAGGCACGCCGTGCTGCGCCCCTGTCCGTGCAACAGTGTATAGGGGGGTGCGCACTTCACATGCACTTCACCCGCGGGGCACTTGCGCTCCGCCCAGGACTGTCCAACGTGACACCCCGTCGGCGTCACCTCGCCTTAAAGTGCCCTTCAACGAGTACATGTATACATACGTCCATGTCAGCCACACTAGGCACCGGCGGCGGCTCGCAGCGCCCAGGTCAGCCAGCAACCAGCCACAACAAATCTCACCAGCGATACAGAAATCGCGTTCATGATTTCGTCCCCACCCCACCGCGCAGCCACCCTAATGACTGTGGGGGATAGCGGCTGGTGAGTTGATGTGGGGTTTAAATGGCCGGTGGGGTGCTGTGGGGCCAACAGAGGGCAAGAATGTTGTTTTGCTGCAAATCACCTCCAAGCTTGCACCCCATGAGAAGCCTCGGCACCCACAGCTAGCCTGTGTATTGAGGCCCCCCGGCAACCGCAACCCACATTTCGCATTTCAGCAGAAAAACGATTGAGGGGCATGCCAGAGACAGATGGGCCCGCTGTACATTGCACATGAACACAACAGATGCGTTACACGAAACAAGATACACAACAGCAACAACGTGAGGAGGAGCGCAGAATTCAGCATTGGAAGCGAAACAAAGAGGCAAGCAGCGTCTCAAAACAGCCTTTCACGCCGCCGCCGCGTCCGCCTTGCGCTGCTCTATGAGCCGCACCGCCGCGGCGCCGCCAAAGTACAGCCCCACCAGCGGGATCGCAAGCAGCGCCTGCGGCCGCGCAGCGCGGAAAGACGGCGGGCGCGGGCGCGGTCGGGGGTGGGTTGTGGAGTTGGCAGCCCGGGCTCGCTGGGCGGCGGGCGCCGCAGCGGGGGCGCACCACAGCGGGACGGCCATACCCTGAAGAAGTAAAGAGTCATTTTGGCTTGTTTCCAACCTGGACTTTGTGCCCTGCTGCAGAGGCTCCCTCCACAGCCATGCTTTGCGGAACGGACCCTCCTGGGCAAAGGAGCTGTGCACCTCGTGCGCTCTCTCTCTCTCTCTCTCTCTCTCTCTCTCTCTCTCTCTCTCTCTCTCTCTCTCTTTCTCTCTCTCCATCTGTGTGTGTGCGTGTGGTCTCTCTCTCTCTCTCTCTCTCTCTCCATCTGTGTGTGTGCGTGTGCGAGAGAGGGACAGGGAAAGTCCCTGTCTCTCTCACACACACGCACACACGCACACACACACACTCACACACACCCGCGCACGCGCGCGCGCCCCAGGGCACGCGCAGTCCCCCCGCGGCCGGCCAGTCACCTGTGTGAAGGGGTCCGTGGACGGCGTCAGCACCGCGGCCACCACCGTTGAGCCGACGACCACATAGCGCCAGAGGCCAAACATCTGCTCTGACGTCACCACGCCCAGCTGGCCCAGCATCACCTGGATCACCGGGACCTGGCGCGTCGGGGTGTGTGTGCGAGCGAGCGAGAGAGAGAACGTGTGTGGATGGGTGTGGAAAGGATCGAGAGAGCGTTCTGGGTGCACTTGGGGGCCCACAGCAATGCAAGGGGTTGGCAGAGGAGTAAGACACCGACTCCTCAATCCACGCAGTCAAAGCCGATGGCGCTGGACCATCCAAGATGGCAGGGGTGGGACAAGCGTCGGGACCGAGCGACGAAGGAGGGGTGGCAGACTGGCGCATTCCTCCCAATCAGTCAAGCGTTCACCCCTGGTGGCACCTTGCGAATACAGAGCATACTCGTGCGCACTGGCACCTCCGCTGTGGTTTTCCCCAGGACACGACGCGAGCTCTCCACGGATGCGCACCTGGAACGACAGCCCCGTGGACAGCATGAGCACCAGCACAAACTGGAAGTACTGGTCGATGGACCACAGGGACTCCACGGCGCCGTCCGCGTAAGACACGAAGAAGTTGAGGGCCGCGGGGGTGAGGATCTCGTACGAGAACACCAGGCTGCGCGGGGCCGGGGCGGTGGGGCGAGGGGGTGAGGTGGGTGCGCGGTGCTGCGCGTGGATGAGCAGGGGGAGCGAGGGCTGGAGAAGCTGTAGCACATCACGTGTTTTTGATACACAGGCGCGGGCACGCGCACACGTGAGGGCGCACATGCACACACTTGAGCGTGCACCCACAACTTCACACACACACACACACACACACACACACACACAAACACAAACACACGCACGCCCCCCCCCCACACACACACACTCACACGCACGCTCACACACAATCACTCTGTTTCACACACACACACGCACACACACACACACACTCTCTCTCTCTCTCTCTCGCTCTCCTCTCAGGAGCTCCTGCCGCCCCGGCCCCTCCTCACCCACCCGAAATAGAACAGGATGGACGACCCAAACACCACTGGCGCCAGGAAGGTGCGCTCCGCCTTAGTCAGACCCGGGACAACGTAGGCGATGATCTCGTACAGCACGGTGGGCGCCGCCAGCAGCAGGCCCGAGTAGCCGGCCACCTGGCACAGGAGGCGGGATCAACCTCAAGGCAAGACGGCACTCGGCGGCGCCGACTGAGCGCCGCGGCGCCCGCTTGCGCGCTAGCCAAGGTGCGGGCGGGTGGCCCCCAGGCCGCCGGCGAGGCGCACAGCAGTACGCGCGAACCGCTGCGGCTGGGGCGGGCGGGTGACGAGCCGCAACTGCTGGCTAGTCTGCCTTGTAGCTCTGCATCCCTCCACAACTCTGTGCACACACACACACGCACCCATGCGTGCGCGCGCGCGCGCACACACACACACACACACACACACACACACACACACACAGCACACCTTAAAGGTGGTGAAGAAGAACTCCCCGGGGCTGAGCTGGAGGAACCGCACCCCCGCGTCAGCCACAGGCGCCTCCAGGAACAACACCAGCTCCTGGGGCCGCGGGGGCGGCGGGGCAGCGGGGCAGCGGCAGCGAGCGCGGCGTCAAGAGCGCGGGGCAAGGTCGCACAGGAGGGGCCTCAGACGTCGGCCCGCCCGGCGCACAGCGCGGGTGCCGCTGCACCTTTAGAGCGTGCGTTCGCCCTGCAGAGTCACAGCGTGCCTCAGTCAACAGCCAAGGAGCCGCCCGCTGCAAGGTGGTGGCACCCCGGTAACACAGACAGCGACACCCGAGAATGCGGCCCCGGCGCGGGTGCGTCAATCTGCGCAAGATGCTTGCGGCGTGCAGCGCACCTTGCTGTAGCAGAAGCAGCCGACGATGGCCACCAGCGCCGCCAGCCCGGCCACCAGAACGCGCTCCCTCAGCTCCTCCAGGTGGTCCCAGATCGGCAGCTGAAGGGTCAGGTGCGGGTTTTGGTGGGGAGGGGGCGGCAGGGCGTGCATGAGCGCATGGCCCTGCATGCATGCATGCAAACGCGCGTCCATGCGTTCGCCGCAACCCCGGGCTGGGGCGGCGTTAAGAGGGGAGGTGGGGGGATGAGAAGCAATCGCTGCGGCCGGCACAAGCGCCGTAGCCGGCCCCAGCCTCCATGCGCGGCCACGGGCCGCCCCGCCAGCGCCAGACGGCGCGGCACACGACGGCAGCCGCGTGGCCACGCATCCGCTGTCCTCCCCACAGCTGCTGGGGCAAGCTCCTGAAACAGAGGCACAGCGGCCGCCCACCTCGAAATCGTCCGGGAGCTCCTCTTTATCAGGAAACAGGAATTTCTGCACCGCAGTCGGCTCGCTGTCTGCAGCCGGCTGCAGCTGCGCCTGTGGCGGCGTGTCGGGCTCGAAATCGAGCTTGAAGTCGACAGGGCTGCCATCGGTGCTGATTGTCTCCGTGAAGCGCTCGGGCGCAGGAGAGGGGCCTGTCAGGGGCGGTGCAGCGAGTGCGAAGGCGTTCGGCGGCACGCGGTGTGCTGTGCTTGGTCGTTCTGCACTCCGCTGTACTCAGCGGTGTGGCTACGCCCGCCTCACTGGGAGCTCACCTGGCTCCTCGCTATTAGTTGCGAAGCATGGTTTGCATTGGCGCACGCGCGCTGGCAGCCGAAGGGAGCCAGAGGTGCAGGCTCGCCGGTGTGGCAGTGCTGGCCTCGCGGCCTGAACCTGACCGCTGCAGGACGCAATCATGGCGTCCTTGATGTTTGCCTGGGTGGGTGCGCCTTGTGCAACGGCCGCTATGCTGCGAGATCTGGAGTTTGCTTCGATGCGGAGACCTCCGCTTGCCTGATTGTCCTGTGGTATCTTTCGTTGACTTCAATGGGTGTTTTCCTGGGTCACATTTTCTAGACAAAGTTAGGAAGGCCACTTCGCGTGCGGTTGTGCGCAGCACGCATCGGCGGACTCTCCTGACCCGTGACTGCTCGTGCTGCTGCTCTCGTCTGCCGACGCTCACGGCGATGGCCGACCAGGCTGCGACCGCAGCACATGGCAACACACGCGCTTCGCGCTCAACTTTTAATGATGGGTAGCCATGCATGTGCCATGCGTAATTGTTTGCACACACGATTGATGCACTCCCCAGCGACAATCCCGCGCCACACACCAACTTGACAAACATCACAGAGCAGAGAAAGGACAAGGAAAATCCTTGAGGTCAAGAGGCGACGGCGGGGGTTCACTACTTTCCGCCAGTGACGCTAGAAGCTGGAGGGAAGCATGCGTTCAATCAATCGGTATTTTAGCAACGAGAATGCCGATTTAATGCCCATCGACCACATGAGAGATCAATAACTGTGTTGTAGCATGCATGCACTGACATGAACCTGAACACATCATTACAGTTGGGCGCCTGGATTGGGCCCGACCGCACATGCCGGCAGATGTGGCAAGCAACCGTGTTCTTAAAGCAGTTGCAGTTTCCCCGCCCATACCCAATCCACCGATCCCCTTGATACACTGCAACATCTGCGCGGTAGGCTGCAGGTCGGCCGGTGCAAACAGCTTGTAGTAGCTTGGGAGTCATTTTGAAGCCACGAGCCAGCCTGCTCGCAAGCGAAGGGGCCGCTCCTGCGGTGGACCTGTCACCATCGTCCGGGGCCGCCTTGATGCGCATACATGCTGTTTAGCTATCTTCACTGAGTAATCCCTGTTCGCAACATATATTACTTGCTGCCTGTCCGCTGATGCCAGCGACGCCTCCAGCGGGCTGGGCGTCAGCTTGGGCAGGCCAAAATTTAATCAGGTGGCCCTATCATCCGCCATCCCCAAGGCATTCAGTCGGCAGGGTTTGGTCAAGGACCTGTGGTTTGACAGGCTTGGTGTCCGAAGTTCATGCACGGGTGAGAAATTTTTCATGGCGGGCCATGCTGAAAGGGGGCACTTGCAGGTGCGCCGCTCGCACGCCACCACACAGGCGCACACCCAACAAGCACTCCAGGTGTGAAGGCATACAGCCATGCCCCGAGACCAATGGACATCGCTGCATCTACTAGGATAACTTCAACCATCATCAAGCCTGCCGATACACCATCGATTGTTGCCCTTCGCAAAGTCCAGGGCGATCTCGGCCGCTTGTCGGACACCGTGGGTTTTATTGTTTTGTGGATAGTTTAGTGTTGAGTGTCATATGGAGCGCTGACGGTCCGCGGCATAAGGAGGGCCACAAGCTTTGCGAGACGATGGAGGCCAGTGGCAGCGGTCGAGGCCTGTCAGGTGAAACACTGCCACGTTGTTGCTGCGTCTGGTTTCGCAGTCGCTGCACGGCCCCCCACCCTTCTGCAGCGCACCCCGTTTCGCGTCCGCCTCAGCGTCCATCCACGGCGGTGTGCACACGTTTGCCTGCTGCCACTCTCCTCGCGCCCCGCATGCATCCATCCTGGCGCCCGCAGCAGCCTACGGCGGCGCCCACGGTGGCGGTGGCGGTGCCGGCGTTCTGCCGGAGGACGTCCGCTGCCCCATCTGCGTCGAGCTGATCTCCAACCCCTTTGTGACGCCGTGCGGCCACACCTACTGCTTCGGGTGCATAAGCACGCACCTGCGAACAAAGAGCAGCTGCCCGTCATGCGCCGCCTACCTGGTCCTGGATCATATCCACCCGAATTTTCTCCTGGACAAGGCGCGAAACGGGGCCCACTGCTGATGAACAGGCAGCATGGTGGTGGCCTGGCACGCCTTTTGCCTATCAGCAGTCCAGCAGCAGTTTGGCTCAATGCACACGCACATAGGATTTGCAGGCGTGCAAGCCAGCCTACATCCCCCCCTCCTTGCGGGTGCCCTAGTGCCATGCCCCTGAACGGCACACATGCGTGGATGCGCACACACACATGCGCGCACGCGCGCGCATACACACCCGACACGCGCACACACACTCGCACATGCACGCACATGCACCGACAAGCACACACTTGCTCACCTCAACCCACCCACCTCGCCCCTGCACTCTCGACAGATCCTCAAGCTTGCCGCGGCCAGTGGGTCCGCCCTGGAGCGGCCCTCCCTGCTGCAGCAGGTCCAGCGCTTCCTGCGCACCATGCCGGCCGCGGGCAGCCTGCCAGACCTCGGTGCGGCGCGCGGGAGATTGGAGTTGCGGGGTGGAGAAAATTGCGGGCAGCAGGGATTGCTGTTCGCCCTGGGGTGGGGGCTCTCTGCCGCCCCGCACCTGCGGCTCGTTAGTCGGGTGGAAGGCGTGATTTTGAGCTCCCATTTTGCAGATGGCCGCAGCAAACAGCATGCGTCGCTCATGGGCCTGAAGCAGTCTGCTGTCGGGCGCTGCGCGGGCACCGATGCACATCTTATGCCTCAGTATGCACCGCTGACGCCCCTCTGGCGCGCCGTGCTGCTTCCTGCACCCCGGTTTAACAGACGCGGCCATTGAGGCGCTGCAGGAGCGCCGCAGCCAGCTGACTAATGAGCAGCTGTCGAACGACCTGCGCCTGCTGCTGCTGTTCCTGGAGCACGCGCGGTGAGGGGAGGCAAGGGGAAAGCGGAAGACCCTTCCTTGCCTGGTCGCGTGCACGGGCGCGCTCGGCGGCATTGCTGATGCAGGTGCATCGTTGCAGCTATCAAGACTGTTTGCAAAGCTGCAAATGCACTTCCCTACCCGCCGCAGCCGCACGTTGCCTGTCCTGCCGGCACCATTTGCATCCCCTCCCCGGCCCCCCCGGCCAAAACCCAAACAAACGTCCGTGCGATGCGGTGTGGCGTCACAGGGAGTTGCGGGCGGAGCAGCTGCACAGCGTGCACCAGCAGCTCGACCTGCTGCAGCACGACCTGGCGGTGGCGCAGGGCGACGCCGCAGACGCCGCCGCAGCGGCTGCTGCCGCCGCATCCAGCCCCTGGCACGTGCACCATCACCCCCACCCCCACCAAGCGCGGGGCCTCGGGCCTGGTCTGCCCCAGCTTGCTGGCGCAGCGGCGTCGGCTGCCGGCGCGGACTTGCGGCACTGGCGGAGCGGCGGGTCGTCTGCCGTGGGCGCGGGCGCGGGCGCGGGCGGCCGGCAGTGGGCGGCGCCGGCCGCCGGCGGCGGAGACGGCGCAGTCGGCAGCATCGGCTGGGCGCAGGGCGCGCAGTTGGCGCAGCTGCCGGCGCTGTGGCAGCAGAGGTGGCACCAGTGGCAGCAGCAGAGCGGCGCGGCGGCGCAGCGGCGCGTGAGCTCGGCGCCGAGCCTGCTGGCGTTGGAGGCGGAGGCCGAGGCCGAGGAGGCGCTGCAGCAGGAGCACGGGCAGCAGCAGCAGCAGCAGCAGGGGCGGGAGCTGGGGGTGGACGAGATGCAGCAGGACGAGCAGCGGCGGCGGCGACAGCAGGCGGCGGCGGCGTCGGGCCGGCCGCAGCAGCAGCTGCTTGAACAGCAGCCGCTGCAGGTGCAGCAGCTGCACACGCGGCAGCAGCAGATACAGCAGCAGCAGATACATCAGCAGCAGCAGCAGCAGCAGCAGCAGGATATGCAGCAGCAACAGCAGCGGCTACGGCCGTTGCTTCAGCAGCAGCAGCAGCCGGAGCAGGGCCTATGCCTGGACGGCATGGGGCACCGCAGCAGCATGGAGCGCAGCCCAACACCCCCGCTTATGCGGTCGACCCCGACACCCACAACACCAACTGGCGCCGCGCGCGCAGCAGCGGGCGCATTGGGGCCGCCCGCGGCGGTGGCAGGCTCGGCGGCGGTCGCGACGCCGGCAGCTCCGCGGCAGCGGGCCCCGCCCAACGGCACCGCTGCAAGCAGCAGCAGCGCCGGCGCCGAGGACGCGCCGGGCGTGTCGCAGCAGGGCCGGGGGGCGGCGGGCGCGGCGGGGCTGGACGCCGTCCGGGGCGGCGGCAGCACGCTGGCGGGCGCGGCGAACGCAGCCGCCAACGGCGTCGGCAGCGCAGGCAGCGGCGGCGAGGACGAGGCGGACAGCGACCCGTCCGCCCTCGCGCCGGCCAAGAAGCGGCGCATCATGTCGCAGTTTGACGAGCTGCAGAACGCGTACCTGAGCATGAGGGCCGCGCAGCAGGCGGCGGCGCAGGAGGCCCAGGGGGCAGACGCGCCCGAGGCCGCGCCGGAACAGTTGCCGGCGCCGCCGCGCAAGGCGTCGCTGCAGGGCGGCGCGGGCGCGGGCGCGGCGGCTGCGGGGGCCGGGGCAGCCGGGGCGGCGGGGCTGCCGCTGCCTGGGCTCGCGCCGAGCGGCAGCCTGCCATCCTCTGGCGGCTGCGGCGGCGGCGCGAGCGGCCGCAGCGGCAGCGGC